CACAGGGGTGATTTGGTGATGGGAAACCTGTGGGGATTACAATCGAGATGGAAAAAAAAAAATGTGCAAAATGATGTAAAAACAAACTTTGTAATAAAAAAAAAAGAGAAAAAATTAAAAGATGTAGCTTCTAATCCCTGACTGCTACTTCTCATACATAATTTTACTTTCAGGACCTAAAGTACTATTTGTACTGACTTTGTTGTTGCAGATAACAAATGATGTACACAGTGTCTGGAACCGGTATCTGGTACCCAGTGTACACTCAATAAATTGTAGCTTTTTAGTAATTTACAGACCAGACACTAAAGCACAAAAAGTGATTGACTAGTGGGAAAGCATACAACTACCTCAGAAACAAGCTAAAGCATAAAATTCAGACCCCTTGACTCCTAGTTCATAAGCTTCTTCCATCCCTGAATATCATCATTATTCATTTCAATGTCAGGACAGAAATAGAGGAAAACTGAAATTCTCCTTATTTTTAATGGTCAGTTGAACTAGCTATACAAGATACACTGCATTAAGAATAGCTTGAGAACTAAATGGCCTAACCTCCTATTTTACATTCATAAATAGCTATGCTGGAGAAACCAGTTATTCCCAAAGAAACAGTGCAACTGGGCAGATATTACTACTTAAAACCAAGGCAAGTTGGGACTAGAGCAAAGACTTTATAGACTACTTGGTCTGATTTTGTCATTTTTCAAAGAAAGAAAGTGAAGATCAGAGACAATAAGTGCCTACTGAAGTTTAGAGCAAGTTGTTCCTGTAAATAACAGAGTCACATGGATAAAGGTTTAAAACTTTTAAATACAATTTAAAAGCAAATCCCTTCTCTCTGACTGACTGGCTTTTGCTCTAGAATTCCAGAGAGAGGGCTAAATGCCTCATGTTGTATAACAACATTATTAAAGGGAATAATTATCTAACACACTTAAATGTAGCATCTGGAAATTGGAACCCAAATCACCTAGCTGCTGTAAATTAACACAATCTCACTTTGCAATCCTGACGCCCCAGTGTCACATTATGGTCTTCTGAGGAAATATGATGACAGACCTTAATTTGGCCTCTCCCAAAAGGACAGGTTAATGTGCTCCAAAATGGATGCACTCAACTGTTCAGTTAAGAAAAGGCATTCTTGCTGTTTCCAGCACCAGGTGTTTCCATCACTGTGTCTCCTAAGGTGTAGTCCAGAGTTGAAATTAACAGAATGGCACCTGCCACAGATGATCACACAGTCAGTCTGGAGTCCCCAGAATAATCAGTCAAATAGCATAGGGGAAACTGTTCAGTAATTATCTCAACTGAACTAAGAGCTTGAGTAAAATGAATTTACCATCTTCAGATTAGAGGTTGCAATGGCCTTGAAACTAGCTATTGCCAAAATGTAAATGAGGACTCTGGGCTTCAAACATGCATTATTCGTCCAGTCAGTTAGAAAGCAGCATGGCCACACAAAACATCAGTTGTTTTACTTGTAGTCTGGTGCTATTTTCATTTACCAGTGCCAGCCTTCCTGTAGCATTTTTTTTGGCTGTGGGTAGGCTGAGCCAAATCCCAGCTCCCACTGCTGCTTGTATCCCCTCCCATGCTTAATGGACTCCAGCACGAGATGCCTCTCAGAGATGAGAGATGAATACTGGCTTCTCAGCTACTCAGTCACTGGATCTCCTAGCCCTGCCGAACCTACTAAGAGTAGAAATGTTAGGATACAGCATATATCATCAGCTTTTTCTTTCAAAGATTTATTTATGTATGCATACAGAACTGGGGTACAGGCCAGAGGTGGGGATTGGTGAGAGAATTCACCTGAGACACAGTGGGGAGCAGAACAGGCAGATCTACTGAAACACACTGCTGAGGGGAGCAGCAGACAGGACAGGAGAGGTCTGCTTTATGGGTCACCTCCCTGGCTGGTATTCAAACTCATGCTGCAGTGGCTGTGGATAGCTTCATACTTTAACTCGTTGCACCACCAAGGAGGGCCCTCATCAGCTTTGTCAAAGGCAACTGGTCCTAAAAGACTGGGTTTAATATTTACTGAGCACCTATCTGCAATATGCCATGTAAAGGTATCTGTGATATAAAACTTAAGAAAAGATATGCCCAGCCCATTTTAAAATGAGTATAAAGCAGTTACCAAAGAAATAGGAGACCATGGCCTCTGCTCTCCGGTGATTTATAATCTAGTGGAGAAGTTAGCCACATACGTAAATAACAGTAATCCAAGACAGACTATGATAAGTACCTCAAAAGAGATACAAATGACTGTGGAGCAACCAGATTTACCATCTATCTTCTGCCTATATTTCAATTTAGTCAAGAGTTCCCTTATGGATCTTTTGGTTTCTTTACATACACAATTGGATAATTCTAGATCTAGTATAGCAGACTTGGAGAGAGGACTTGATTTAGAATCTGAGCTCTATTATTCAGTAAATTATATAACTAGTAAAAAACTTAAAAAGTTTCATTTTCTAGGCCTCCTGATGGTACAGGGATTAAAGCCTCAGTGCTGTCAAGATATTGCCAACCTCTGGGCATGAGTTTGATTCCCAGCTAGGGAGGTGACCCACATGGTGCAGCAGACCTCCTGACCTGCCTACTGCTCTCCTCCGCAGTGTATTTTAGCACATCTGCCTGTTCTGCTCCCTAATAACTCTGGTGAATCCTCTCATACCCCCCAACCTCTGACGTGTACTCCAGTTCTGTATGCATAAGTAAATAAAGAAATCTTAAATAAAATTAAAAAATAAATATTCTTAAAAATAGTTTCCTTGTCAGTTGTCTCTTTCATGCATTCAGGTAATTTCTAAACATTATTTTTCAAAATGTGCTCCTGAAATACTAAGCTAGAAGTTTTCCTAACTTTATCTATCTGTGATCGCTAGTAAAATATAAAACCTACACTACTTCAAGTCCATTTCATTTTTTTTTTTAAAGATTTATTTATTTATTCATACAGAACTGGGGTACAGGCCAGAGATGCGGAGGGTGAGAGGATTCACCAGAGACAGAGCGGGAAGCAGAACAGGCTGATCGATGAAGTACACTGCTGAGGGGAGCAGCGGGCGAGTCAGGAGAGGTCTGCCACACCATGTGGTCACCTCCGGGGTAGGCGGGGATCGAACTCATGCGGAAGTGGCTTTAGTTTCTCAGTGCAGTGCTTTAACCCGCTGCGCCACCAGGGAGGGCCCCATTTCATTTTTTTTTAAGATTTATTTATTTATGTATGCAAGAACAGGGGTACAGGCCAGAGGTGTGGGGGTGAGAGGATTCACCAGAGACAGAGTGGAGAATATAACAGGCAAACTGACTGAAATACACTGCTGAGGGGAGCAGCAGGTAGGACAGATCTGCTCTGCCAGATGGATCATCTCCTTAGCCCCCAGGGATCAAACTCATTCTGCAGTAGTGGTGATTGCTTCATAGTGCTGTACTTTAAACCCCTTGCACCACCAGGGAGGACCCTCAAATCCCATTTCAAACCAGAAAAAGCTGGGACTGATACATATCTATTCATTCAAAAAACAAGTCAGAGATGTTGTGAGATACTCAAATGAAGATGTCTGGTATACAGCTAGAAGTCTTTAGCATAGAGGAGGTACATGAGGCAGACAGATGCTTCACTAACTCTTCCCATTTAGACTATAAATGTTCAAAATATTAAGTGGACAGGAGCTCCAAACCCAGCTGCTTTTCACCTCTATGATCAATGCCTAATATAAATGGTGGGTTTCCAAAGTACAAAATATACCTCTCCTTGGAAAATAGTGTAGAGGGCAGGCAAGTTTTCCATGGTCTCAGGTCTTCCTGAATTCATCCTTAATGTTCTATGGTTCCTCCATTTCTTTCCTGCCAAAGCTAATTCAAATGTCCTGTCACAAATAAATTAAGACAAACAATAATTAGAAACCTACATTCAAATGTGTAGAAAATCCAGTTAGTTTCTACAGAATAACAGATTTAACACTATGTGTTTTATCCAAATCTCCTTTGTCCAACTCTTAATTGTGCAATTTTGGAAATGTTGATTTTATTTCCCTTTAATTTGTTACTTACCCAAGGTTACTACTTTTTTTTTGCTTTTGTTTTAATTGCTAAAAGTCAATGGAAGTCTTTTCACGTGCAAAAGGATCTTAAGAATGGATTTTTAAGATAGTAGCAAGAGCTAACATTTATCAAGTAGTTACCATGACCAGACTGAGCACTAAACATCCAAAATTTCATTTATCTTCAGAATTCTCATGATGTAGATTCCACTATTATGTAGAAAACTTGGGGACCCTTCCAGGTGGTACAAGGGGTTAAGGCACAGCACTGTGATGATATCCTCAGCCACTGTAGCACCAGTTGATCCCCAGCCGGGGATGTGACCCACATGGCACAGCAGACCTCTCCTGTCTCACCCATTTCTCCCCTCGGCAGTGTATTTCAGTACATGTGCTCATTCTGTTCCCTACTTTGTCTCTGGTGAATGGTCTAACCCACCCCCCCCCACACACACACACACACCACCTCTGGCCTGTCCCAGTTCTTGTATGCATAAATAAATCTTCAAAAAAGAAAAGAAAACTTTGATTTCCAGAGGTCAAATTACTAGGCCTATCTCAAGAAATGGAGTTAAACTCTGGCTGACATCAGAGTTCACACATTTAATAGCTATAATAGGCATTAAATCTCAAGTAACTTCAGAGAGAAAATAGCTGGCCTTTTTTTCTGATAAAATTGAAAGATACACTTTCAAAGTTCAGATAATACTTCGATAATGAAGAAAAAAAATCATCCATAAATTTGCTTTTTCTTTTTCCATGCAGTGTTTCTTTTCATGGAATCACTTGTCATTACAAACAAACCTTGTTTTATTACATTTCACCACTGTGATTTTTGCAAACTGAAGGTTTGTGGCAACACTGTGTTAAGCAAGCCTATAGATGCCATCTTCTAACAGTATGTTCTTATGTCAATTGCATTTTTGGTAATTATCACAGTACTTAAATTTTTCAGTCTATCTGTTAGGGTGATCTGTGATTAGTGACCATTGATGTTACTATTTCAATTGTCTCAGGGAACCACATAAAAGTCAACAAATCCAACATGTCTTCTGACTGCTCCTCCAACCAGACATTCCAGTCTTTCTCCTTCTCCCCAGGTTCCCTTATTCCCTGAGACTTAATACTGATATTAGCCCAATTCATAATCCTACAATTGCCTCTAAGTGTTCAAGAGATAGGAAGACACACATCTCCCACTTTAAATCAAAAGATGGAGCTGATCTCAAACTGGCCACAACACACCCTCAAAGCCCTAACACGCCTCAATTCTATGTAGGCTGTGAGAGGTGAGGAAGCTGCAGAAGTTTGAAGTAAGCAGAGGCTGGCTCCTGAGATGCAAGGTAAAGCAGCAAGTACTGACACAAAAGCTGCAGCAGTTATTCACAAATCTAGCTAAATCACTGATGAAGATGGGAATACTAAACAATAGATTTCAATGCAGATGAAAAAGCATTAAATTGGAAAGTGACACCTAGGTCCTTTTTGTTGGTTATGCAAATTAACCCATTTATTGTAAGCTGGCAATGTTTCAAATAATGGCACTTCCACTGGTCTTTCAGTTCCTTCAGTCTTCTGATGGCAGATTTTACTCTGGCAACAGAAGTGGTGTTGCAGGTCCAGGTACCACCAGGTGTGAGTGTTCATGCAGGAACCACAAAGCCAGCTCACCACAGCTTGTCTCTTCATCTTAGGTTTGCCACAGAAGGAACAGTATTGGCTGATTTAAATTTTCTTCACCATTTCCTGAGGGGGAGCCCTACTCATAAACAATCCTGACCTTCTTGGTGTGTTTAGCCAAACAAGGTCCAAGCCCAGAGAGCATCTAGTACTTAAAAAAAAAAGATTTATTCATTTATGCATTCATGAGTTGGGGTTTAGGGGTGAGAGGATTCACAGAGACAAAGTGGGGAGCCGAACAGGCAGATTCACTGAAATACATTGCTGTGAGGAGCAGTGGGCAAGACAGGAGAGGTCTACTTCATATTGTGGGTCAGCTCCTTGGCCGGGGATTGAACTCAAACTACAGTTCAAGTGTCTGCTATGATGAAATATGAATAATTAATTATAGGGCTCTCTGATTTGCTCCTTCTTAGAATGATAGCCCAAGAAAATCTATGCAATTCCTTAAAGAAGGTACATTTTTTTTAAAGACTTATTTATTCATACAGAACTGGGGTACAAGCAAGAGGTGCAGGGGAGGTGAGAGGCTTCACCAGAGACAGAGTGGGAAGCAGGACAGCTCCACAAAGTACACTGCTGAGGGGAGCAGTGGGTGGGTTCGGAGAGGTCAGCCACACTATGTGGATCACCTCCAGGGTGGGGATTAAACTCTCACTGGAGCGGCTGCAGCCAGCTTGCAGTGCTGCATCCTAACCCGTTTTGCCACCGGGGAGGGCCCAAGAAGATATATTTTTGAGCAAAAGCTTAAAATGTAATAATATATTATAACATGTGTACAATTTCAGGAAAACGGGGCTATATCCTTTAAAAAATGGAATTCAGGGCCCTTCCTGGTGGCTCAAACAGTTGAAGCATAGCACTGTGAGTATGATTCCTGGGCAAGAAACTGACCCACATGGTGTAGCGGACCTCTCCTGGCCTACTTACTGCTCCCCTCAGCAGTGTGTTTCACATCTAATTGTCTGCTTCCAGTTGTCTCTGGTGGTTCCTCTCACCCCTTCTCTCCTGCACCTCTGGCCTGTACCCAGTTCTTTTATGCATAAATATTTTTTTAATGTAATTATTTTTCAAGTCATGTTCTGTCAAAACCTAGGATCTGGTGGTTATTCAGAAATCCTGCAGTTAGTTCAAATTTACTTGTTTGAAAGTCAGTTTTGAACTGTCTAGAGACAACAGGTTTCAAGAAAGCCAAAGGAAAGCTCTAGGCCAATCAACCAGAAGCCTCCATACCAAAGGCAGAGGGATACAGCCAGTGCTGGGGAGACCTTCCCCACCAGCATTGCTGGAAAGCTAGGACTATCTTCTCATAATCAGGGAGAGGTTGATGATTACTTTCTCCTACTTTCCCTGCCAGCTTGGAATGGATGGTGGTAGCAATGGAGAGAGGACACAGAGTACTTTGTTTTGATCTAGTGTACCTGTGTAAGATTTTGTTTGGGGAACAAAAAAAAAAAAATATCTGCAGCTTTAAAAAAAAGTCAATTAAAACATTGCGATGGACATCCTCCGGTCAGATATGACCACATCTACAGACTTATAAGAGAAGTAAGTTGACAAGGACTGAGGTACACCATTTGGAGTTGCCTTGCCACAGTTCTGGAAGCAGAAAATCTTCCTGAAGTAATTCATTTCACTTGAATGTCTTCAACAATTGTAATATGTAGGGACTCAATATACAAATTACTCCCAAATATCCACCCCCAACAAGAAAGTCTCTTCTAAGTTCCTAAGCCATATCCCAAACTGCCTGTTCGCTGTAATGAGTGGAATAAAGGTCTTTAGCTTTCCCTTTCCCCAGCCAAGAAAAGAATCACTCAGTTGTATTGGGTCGAAACCTAGCAATTATCTTTGACCCTGTTTTCACTCACTGTATCAATGCAACACCAAGACCTGCCTGTTTTACTTTCCACATCTCTCTAGAATCTGTCCAGTTCTCTGCAGCTCCACCAGCACCTCAGTGCTCAATGCTAGCATCTCTCATCTCAATGCATCTGCATCTATCCCTCTTCCAATATGTTTACACTGATGACAGGAATGATCAAACCCCCACCAAGCTTCCCTCACCCCTCGATGAAGACATTCCCTCAGTGGTTTCCCATCAGCCCTAACAGTAACAGCAACAAATCCTGCAAGGTCTGGTCTGGCTTCCACTGGCCTCCAGCTTCGCACTGTAGCGTACTCCCCTCCTTTGTGCTGGCCTCTGGGTGCCATTTGGACATTCTCCTCCCGACTGCCACAAAGCCTCTCCGCACATGTTGTTCTGTGTGGGATAGTCTGTCCTCCCCTCTTATCTAACTAATCAGATGTCTCCTCTCAGGCATCAGTTCAGGCATCTTTTCCTCAGAGAAGCCTTCCAGTGTTTCAGGCACTTTCACATTTCTTGGTGAGATCACTATTAACACCCTGTTTTCTCCCCCCCCACCTACCCCCGCCCCCCCAGGACTCGAGACTCCTGAGGTCAAGGACCACGTCTGGTTCACAATGCAGCCCCAACACCTTGCACAGTAAATATCAGGGGCACGGTTAAGGAGATGGCCTAGTTCTTCGTATGAATTCAAATTTCTCAACAAGACGGTGGTCTGGAGGAGGAGGTCGGACATTTCCTTCATCCCCGCCCCCTCAGGGGCACGGAGCGGGCCCCAGTAAAAAGCTGCTGCAGAATTGGTGGCAGAAACACGGTAGCCTCCTCAGAGAAACAACCCTGGGTTTGACGGGGAGACTAGCCTTCCCCTCCTGAGAGTGCTTGGACACAGCAGGCGCCTGAAGAAATGGGTCGTCGAGGGCCCTACGCGGCCGCAGAGACCCCCGAAGCCCCAGCCGAGAGGGAACGCAGGCTAGAGTACCTGAGCGAGCGACCCGCCTCTGCCCCCGGCAAATACATCTTCAACAGAGAAGGGTCGGCTTCAGACCAAGCAAACTAGGCACTGCCTCCAGATCCCACAGCTATCATTCCCCCAACCCCCCGCCCCCATCTTCCCCATACTTACTCGGTGCCAACACCCGGCCCCCTGACCGCAGCATTGCGCCGACACGCCAAAGTCGGTCAGAGCGCTTTCCCCCCACAAGACCCAGCACGCCTAGGCGGGACTTCAGCTCCATCCACCAATGCTGGAAGCTCACTCTCGTGACATCAGAAAGATCTGACCAATAATAAGAAACTATCTAGAGGGCGGGGCATAGGGAAATTGCGGAAGCCGATTGGGCTCCCCAAACCGGAAGTTCCTCGGGAAGCGCTAATTTAGAGCCAATCGTGCGGGGGCAAAGTGTGTCGGCGCGGTTAGTGGGGGCCCTGAGGAGAGTGGCTGCCGCCATGATAGAACAGCCGAAGCGCAAAGGCCCAGAGTTGCCGCTGGTTCCAGTCAAGCGGCAGCGCCATGAGTTGCTGTTGGGAGCGGCAGGGTCGGGCCCCGGACCGGGGCAGCAGCAGGCGGCTCCGGGAGCTTTGCTGCAGGCGGTAAGTGAAGCAGCAGGCAGCCTTCGGCCCTCGTTCTCATGCCTCACAGCGCGCCCCGGCCTTGCCCCCCCAGCCCCACACCACCCGGAGCTGAACGAGTCTCTTACCTGATGTTAAAGTAGATAAACACTGAGACAGTGGCCGACAGCCCTGCGAGGTGGCTTTAGAACCAGAGGGTAGGACCTTGAACTCAGAACCGGGGTAGGGGCGCCTAAATCTCCCAGGGATCCGGTGTAGAAAAAGTGTTGAGAACGAGTAGTTAGATGAATGAGGGAAGGAAGGAAATGAGTGATACTCGCTTTGGGTCTTTGGGCTGCCTGCTTTGCCCTTTATTTCTCTGCATGGAGATTGACAATCAAATAACAGTTAATAGCCATTGAATAGTTGTACTAGGACTTTTGTATAGGAAAACACCGTTCATCTTGGTAACAGCCCAAATATTAGGAACTGTTACCCATTTTGTAAGTGGGAAAGCAGACATACAGGTCAGAGAAGCAGGTTTTAAACCCAGAATGCATTCTCTTAACTACATTTCTTCCAACATAGAGGCGGTGTTCTCTCACAACTCCTCTGCCAGCCCCTCAGTAGATCTGCTGCCCATCCTCAAAATATATCGATTTTAAAAGACAAAACTTGCAAGATGGCCATAGAGCTGAGGCTTAATTACAGCAGGGAGGTGGGGTGGGTCAAAATAGGAAAGGGAAGAGCACAAGGGACTGAGCTCAACGGTGATGAACCATGATTGGATCGATTATTTTGGAGAACTACCAGGACTCGCCAATGGGAGAGATCTGACACTGGACAAAAATTAACAACGATGTACCAAAATAAGTAAATAAGTTTATAAAGTGAGAGAGTGCGTGTGTGTAGATGTACTACCACTTCCACCTTTATCACTAGCTCGTGATCTAAGCTGCTATTATCTAGCACTATTTCAGTAAGATCCTAATGGCATTCCTATTTCTGCACTTGTATGATCAGCCTACCCTCAGACCTGCAAACAGCCAAATCCTTCTTAACATCAGATCTCTCAGGCAACAAGCATAAAGATTCTGAGGCAAAAATGAGTTTAATATGTTTGAGCAATTAAATATTGGCTTTGAGATAGGAGCAGAGTGAAGGAGAATATTGTAACAGATAGATTTGGGTGACTTGAGCATATCAGATGGGAGGCATGAGTTATGTGAGCATTCCCACTCTCTAAGTGAGAAATACACTCGATTGTTTTTCCCTGTCTTCTCCCTGTGCCCACCCACCCCTCAATCTTGCAGCTTCCTTTTGCCTATTTGTTGCAACTATTTACTTTTTTATTTAGGGGCCTCCAAGGTGTTCTTCCCTTCAAGCTCCGATCATGCTTCTCTCAGGACATGAAGGAGAAGTGTACTGCTGCAAGTTTCATCCCAATGGATCGACCTTAGCATCTGCAGGATTTGACCGACTGATATGTAAGGCATGGTTTTTGAATCTGAAGTAATTGGTCTTTGCCATATAGTGAATATTTGTTAAAGCCTTCTGTACAGTGTAAGGCACCATTCTGAATTGGTAACATAACAAACTGTGTGACTAACAAGCAAAAATAGAGGCATGACAATGTTCAGTGATTATATAGAATCCCTTATACTTCCTTATAAGTATAAAAGGAATTTTGTTAGAATCCTAATTGCTCTAATTTCAAAATGTCTTCTTCATAGAAGCAAATCTTGAGCTAACTTTATCAAGAAAAGAGATCAAGGCTTAACAAATCAATAGAAGTAATGAGAAGAGAAGACTTTTTCCCAAAGGTGTGAGACCCTCTTCTTAATACACACTTAGAATCTTCACATGGGGGAGGATGAAAAGATCCTATCCTAAAGTGGCAATTAAGATAATTTACTAGAACATCATTAGGATCTACTCTCAGATTGTCACCTACTCGTTAGGAATATCCATTTTTGAGAAAAAGAAAAATCACTCTGAAGGTGTCATGAGAAAAGGTATCAGAGAAGATAGCAAGCCTGAATTTTTTTCTTCTGGCATTATTTTCCTGAGAGAGACAATCCTTTGGTCAATGCTGATGACTCAGTGTCTCTGGACAAATATCTGTCCTCACAGTGCATGTTGATTTAGGTGTTCCAGTTTTATGGTCATTAAATTTACTAGTGGCCAAGCACCTGGGAGATATAACATCTATGAATTACTGATATGTTTCACTTGATAAAACAAAGTAGAAGCAATTTTATAAACAGAAAATACCTCAAAAATATAGTGATATAGATATATTAACTTCTTGCTGGACTAAGCTCCCTGAGGATAGGAACTGCATGTTCACTTACTTCATTTTACTCCAACACCTAAACACATATAGCAGTTACTTAGCACACATGGGATAAATGAATGCAGTGCAAAGTCATTAGCATGTGGCCCTCAAGTCAGTTGCTGGTTCCTTTAATTTCCCTAAATGCCATTATTTTGTTGTATACTTTTACTCATAGCAGACAAGTAGTAATGAGCACCAACTTTTTTTAAAAAATAGGAAATAATTTAATTTTACTATTAGCTACTAACTTTTTTTTTTTTAAACTACGAAATGTGGAAATAGTGTTTTTATTTTTATTTCATGGTCAGGAAAGTGGTGAGCTGGTAGAACTAAGTGTTCCTAGGGAGTATAATTTCAGAACTGTTGTCCTTGTAAATTCTTAAATACCCTTTCCATGGTCAGTAATGTCTTTCTGCCTAGTAATATTCACAGAACCCCTGTCTCCCTAATAGTGCTGTGGAATGTCTACGGTGACTGTGATAACTATGCCACATTGAAAGGGCACAGTGGAGCAGTGATGGAACTGCATTACAACACAGATGGCAGGTGAGTGTTGTACAGCCTTGAGTGACGGCTCCTTCCCATACTAAGTCTTCTTGGCATCCTTTTGCATTTCATCTTTGGAGTTCTCTTAGGATACTCTCTTGTCAGAAGCGACTGCATTTTGAGTAACTCCATTATTTTCCTATCACTGTCACCCCAAGTAAGGTGTTTATTTTTCTATGTATCCATCATTTAACTTATCAGCATACAGACAAATTTGTTTCTTTTTAAGACAAATTTTATTTTATTTTATTAAATTACCTATTATAAAGGTAAGAAAAAAATTTTAAAACTCAAAATTACAAGATGGAAAAATAACCCCTATTCTTACCTTTCCAGAGATAATTGCTGTTAATGTCTTTTTTCTCAAGCCTTTTTCCTACTCAAAGCTATTTGGTTTTTACATATACTGCAATTTAGAATTATGTTTACAGTCTTGTCTGTTCCTTTTATCCCCTAAGTTTATTCACTTAACCTATATGTCATACATACTATTTATCGTAAACATTTTAATGATTGTGTAGTTTTAGATTAACTATAGCTACATGGAAATGTGATCAAAGTTAATTGTTCTCATTAGGATTTTGGTATATAACATGACATAGATTTTTCTTATTAATGTTTGAATAAAGAAAATGTAATTATAACTTAGAGATAAGCCTCAGAAACAAAAACTTCGATTTTTTTTTGTTTTGTTTTGTTTTTATTTAGAGATAGGTTTAAAATTACTCAGCCATGGGATCAAGAAGTATGTCTTTTTTACCTCTGCATCGAGAATAATTAAAATTTCCAAATGGGAGGATATAGCATGTGTAAAGTGTTGTCTATCACAAAGGAAGAAAAGATTAAGAAAACTTTTAGATATATAATGTCATTGGAACTACAGAAGAAAAATTTTTTAAGTATTTCATTCGGTAGACCTCCGAACTATGTCTGAAACATAGTTTCAGTTTTTAAAAGTAGGGTGAAGCATGTCAGTATCCTGCCAGACTGTCAGCACAGTGTCAGTGATCTTGAGTATTTTGGCAAATGGGAAAGATAAATTGCTATTGTTTGTCTTCATTTACTACTTTTTTGTTCTTCCTCTTACCTTCTAGTATGCTCTTCTCAGCGTCCACAGATAAAACTGTGGCAGTGTGGGATAGTGAGACTGGTGAGAGGGTTAAAAGACTGAAGGGACATACTTCCTTTGTGAATTCCTGTTATCCAGCCAGGAGGGGTCCCCAGCTTGTCTGCACTGGCAGTGACGATGGTACAGTTAAGGTGGGTGTTGTTTGTCTGTGCATTGCCATTTCTGAGGTGACATAATGTGCGCCTAGTCTTGCCTTCCCACCTGTGCTGTACCTTCCTCTTTACAACTTTGTTTTTAAAAGCCAAACGCTTTTTAAAAATACGTGTAAAGTGGCAGTGTTTTAAGTATTCTGCAGAATGATGTTAGAACCCTTTTGACTTGGAATACAATGGATCACCTAAATTGAATTCTTAGCAATTCACTTTTCTGGTCACTGTTCAATCTTTTATAACAGTGACAGAAAATATGTGTCTTATAAAGCTGTGAAATTATAGACAGTGTGTAAGAAGCTCAGTACATGGTTTTAGAGACTTAAGATGGGATCTTAATTTTAAGGATTGTTCAGTTCAGTGATTTCCAACCTGTCTGTTTATCAGAATCACCTGAAGAACTTGTTAAAAATACCCACCTAGAGCCTCCCTGGTGGCCTGGAGGGTAAGTCTCAGTGCTATCACATGGTCTGAGTTTGATCCCAGGCCAGGGAACTAACCCAGATATGGTGCTGCAGATTTCCTGTCTCACCCACTGCTCCCCTTTCAGTAAATCCGCTTGTTCTGCTCTGTGTCTGGTGAATCCTTTCATCCTCCACACTGCTAAATTATGCCCATTTCTTCTATGTAAAAACAAGGAAATACTAAAAATACCCAAATAGGGTTTAGTAGCTCTGGAGTGGGAATTTTTTTATATTATTGCAACCATTTTTTTAGGGCCGTTCTAGGATCACAAGAAGATTAAGTGGAAGGTACAGAGATTTCCATGTATCCACTGCCGCCATACATACCCAAACCTGCCCCTGCGGCCCCCACCCCACCCCCGCCACACACACACACACACACACACATATATACTCCCCACCGCCCGTTTTAAAATATCCCTTACCAGAGTGGTAGGTGTAGTTGTTAATGTTGACAAACCTACATTGACACATCTTAGTCACCCAAGTCATGGATTTATGTTAGGAGTCACTATTGCTGGCATTCATTCTATGGTTTGGACACATATGACTATAGGTACCTTAGAGTTTTGTCGCTGCCCTAAAAATTTCTTTGCTGCCTATTCTCCCACCTTTCCCTCCAATCCTAACCTCTGGAAGCACTGATATTTCTATTCTCTATTGTTTTGCCTTCTCCAGAATTTACATCATTAGAAACATCTAGTAGATAGTCTCTTCATCCTGGCTTCTTTCACTTAGTAATATGCATTTAAGATTTCCCTGTATCTTTTCATGATTTGATAGCTGATTTATTTTTAGTGCTGAATAATATTCCATTTCCTATAGTTTACCTAGTTATCTACAGGATATCCTGATTGCTTCTGAGAATTGGTACTTTTGAATAAAGCTTCTATAAACCTATGACCTATATTAAAATCTACCACTAATTCTTTTCTTTTTTATGACACATCTTTAAAACTTGGAACCAAAGTTTTTCTCTTCTGAATGAAATGACCCATGCTCTTAAAACATTTACCCATTTGTTTTTTAAAAGTAGAATCCAACTGTCTACTTTAACTTGTGTATGGAGTCTCACCCTCTTTCCTATTACCAACACATCAAGCAGCTATTAAAAATAAATGTTGAGAGCCCTCCCTGGTGGCGCAGTGGGTTGGAGTGCTGCGCTCTGAAGCTAAGCCAAGCCATGGCTGCTTCAGTGTGAGTTCGATCCAGAGGTGATCCACGTGGCGCAGCAGACCTCTTCTGTCTCTCCTGTCTCCACAGCTCTCCTCAGCAGCGTAATTCCTTAATCTGCCTGTTCTGGTCCACATTCTTTTTCTGGTGAATCCTCTCGCCATCCCTGCACCTCTGGCCTGTACCCCATTTATGTATGCATAAATAAATAAATTCTTTTTTAAAAAAAATACTGATTTAAAAAGTATATGTATTACATTAATAATAAGAAATCAGAACATTTTAACATTTTGAAATTAATATTAACATTAATGTAATAGGATTGGACAGTATTAAATTCTAGTCCTTCTTTGCTGCTGGTGTTCTTCATTAGATCCGTTTCTCCTTTGAGCAATAGTTAAGAATTCAGTGTAAACTAGATAGTATAAGCACAGTATCTTTTGAACATATTTATTACAACTCACATTATGGAATATATTCTATACTGTGATCCAATAGATAGCCCTCTTGATTCTCTGATAGCTTCTTTCCTATAATTTTTTAATTGAGACAGAATTTGCATAACAAAATTCACCACTTTAATTGTTTATACAAGTGTACAATTCAGTTGCAGTGTTGTATTACCATCACCACAATCCAGTAGCACGTTTGTCCCGATGGAATTGCCCATTCTGGGCATTTTGTATAAGTAAAATTGTACAGTATGTGGCCTCTTGCATCCAGCTTCTTTCACTTGGCATAATGTTTTCAGTTTCACCCATGTTATATCATGTATCAGTATGTCATTCCTTTTATGGCTTAATCATATTCCATTTTACTGATGCATAATTCCTTTTGCTTATGCATCCGTTTATGGATATTGGATTGTTTACACATTTAGCTACTACAGGTATTGCTGCTACAACATTCATGTACATGCTTTCCTAATGGAGAGCAGAACAGGCAGATTGACAAAGTACACTGCTGAGGGAAGCAACAGCGAGACGAGATATGCTGCACCATGTGGGTCACCTCCCTGACTGGGGATTGAACTTGTGCTGAACCAGTTGTGGCTAGCTTTGTAGCGCTGCACTTTAACCCTTTGCACCACCGGGGAGGGCTCTTGAACACCTGTTTCATTTCTCTTGAGTATATATCTAGCTAGGTCAAAAGGTAACACTTAACTTTTTGAGGAATTTCTGTAGCAACTACATCATTTTATACTCCCACCAACTATGTATAAGGGTTCCAGTTTTTCCACATCCTTGTCAACATTTATTTTCTGGGTTTTTTATAATCATCCTAGAAAGTAGTATGTAAGTGTTGTTTCAGTAGTATCTAAATGTGTTTTTATTTCTGAAATGATTAATGTTATTGGGTGTCTTTTCATATGCTTAGCAGTCATTTTTATATCTTCTGAGAGTATTCAAGTTCTTTACCCCTTTGTTAATTAGGCTTTTTACATTTCTTTTGTTGTTAGGGTTTTTTTTAAACGGTTTATTTTTTTATGCTTACAGAATTGGGGTACAGGCCAAAGGCGTGGTGGGTGAGAGGGTTCACCAGAAACAGTGGGGAGCAGACAGGCAGTTTGACAGAGTACACTGCTGAGGGGAGCAGAGGTCAGAAAAGGTCTGTCATGCCATGTGGGTCACCTCCCTGGCCAGGGATCGAATTCATGCTGCAGTGGCTTCAGAGAGCTTCATAATGTGGTGCTTTAACCCCTTGTGCCACAGGGAGTTTTTCATTCTGTGTACTAGGTCTTTGTCAGATACATGATTTGCAAATATTTTCTCCTATTGTCTTCTCATTTCTTCATAATACCCTTTGATGTACAGAAGTTTTTCTGAAATCTAGTTTACCGGTATTTTCCTTTTGTCACTTGTGCTTTTGGAATCTTCTAAAAATACATTCCCAAGCCAAGGTTTTAAGAGTACACCTATGTGGGCCCTCCCTGGTGGCGCAACAGGTTAAAGCACAGCACTGAGAAGCTAAAGCCACTTCAGCATGAGTTCGATTCCCGCCTGCCCCAGAAATGACCACATGGCGCGGCAAACCTCTCCTGACCCGCCCGCTGCTCCCCTCAGCAGTGTACTTCATTGATCTGCCTGTTTTGCTCCCCACTCTGTCTCTGGTGAAGCCTCTCACCGCCCCTGAGCCTCTGGCCTATACCCCAGTTCTGTATGCACAAATAAATAAATCTTTAAAAAAATAAAGAGTACACCTATGTGATGTGGGGCTCCAGTCTCATTCTGTTACATATTAGCCAGTTGTGCACACACCATTTGTTGAAGACAATTTTTGTTATGTGTGTGAGCCATACTTTTGCCTAAATCAGGCCTTCTCTTTATCTTATTGAAAATTAGACATTTGAATATTAGAATGTGGTAACTCTGGAAATTAGCTTACCCCAGGGTTTGTTGTTGCTGCTTTTAACTGTTGTTTTAGTGAATTTTCTGAACTGATTTTGTAAAATATGTGCCCTCTGTCCTATGAAAGTTTCTGTTTATTGATTTAGCAGTTCTTTACTAATGATTTGACAAACTTTTCCTTAATTTCGGGATGTTGAGAGGGATTGACTCTTGTGTATATAGATGTATAGGGATTGGGCTGGGCAGTCTTCTCAGCCAAGCAATTTACAACTCTGCTTTGGCACATACCTCCTGCCTTCATAGAGCCTGAAGATCAGCAAGAGGTGAGCACCTTGTCTGGTCTTTTGAACGTGCCCAGGCATGTAAGTGACCTTTTAGATTCCCAGGAATATTCCAGAGCTTCTCACAGCCCTCATTCTTCAGATCTTATTCCCTAGCCTTTCTTCCCTAGCTTTTTGGTTTATCCATTGTTTGCCCCAGCTGTTATCCTTGCTTCTCTTCTGGGAGAATTTCAAATGAAAAATAAAAGCAAGTCCTTTGAGCTTACCTTTCCGAGAGCCACCAGACAAGTTAAAAAAAACAGTCTAACTTTTTGAGAATAAAGAAGTTCCATTCTGCTCCATCTGGTAGTAGGAGCACATAATGAGAATGCTGGTTGTTTTCCTTAAGGCTATTGCTGAGTCGAAGATGGAGCCCAGGGTAAATTAAAGTGCTACAAAGCTCTTATAAGACAGCTCACGTGGTTTTCTTCCTCATAAATCGTTTGCCTGGTTGTTGTAAACTTTTGATTTGTTTCTATAATCAAATGTTTCTGTAATTCTGGTAAAGCTGATTCTACCTGTTTCTTTTTGGTTTTATTATTTATTTGGTTAGCCAATTAATTCACTGCTTTTGTAGAAGGTTTATCTTCTGGCATTCCCTGTTCTACCATTTTGACAATATAACCTCTTTGTATTTTTTTTTTTAAATATTTATTTATTCATACAGAACTGGGGTACAGGTCAGAGATGCGGAGGGTGAGAGGATTCACCAGGGACAGAGTGGGGAGCAGAACAGGCAGATTGAGGAAGTTCACTGCTGAGGGGAGCAGCGGGCGGGTCAGGAGAGGTCTGCCACGCCATGTGGTCACCTCCGGGGCAGGCGGGAATCGAACTCATGAGGAAGTGGCTTTAGCTTCTTAGTGCAGTGCTTTAACCCACTGCGCCACCAGGGAGGGCCACCTCTTTGTATTTTTTAACCAAAGTTGTAAGGCATTGATTAGTTAAGGTACACAGTGGTTTTTTGTTTTGGTTTGGTTTTTTTTTTTTTTTTTAAGATTTTATTTGATTATACATACAGAAATGGGGTACAGGCCAGAGGTGTAGGGGCAGTGAGAGGATTCAGCAGAGGCAGAGTAGGGAGCAGGATAGGCGGATCTCCTGAGATCACTGCTGAGGGGAGCAGCAGGCAAAACAGGAGAAGGCTGCTGTGCCATATGTGGCCCATTTCCTTGGCCAGGGATCGAACTTTGTGTAGTGGCTGGCTATAGCTTGATAGCGCTGGTCTTTAACCCCTGTGCCACCAGGGAGGCCCCAGGATATCCAGTTTAAAAAACATTAGTCTCCTGTCCTGCTATGCTGAGAATGTATAAACTAGGCAAATAGAAAACTTGCATTCTAGGGGGACATGTTTTTGTTTTTAAGATTTATTTATGCATATAAGAACTGGGGTGTAGACCAGAGGTGTGGGGGTTGAGAGGATTTACCAGAGACAGAATGGGTAGCAGAATAGGCTACTGAAATACATTGCTGAGGGGAGCAGTGAGTGAGATAGGAGAGGTCTACCTTGCCATGTGAGTTAGCTCTTTAGCCAGGGACCAAATACTTGCTGCAATGGCTGAGAGTAGTTTGATGTTGCTGACATTTCATCCCGTGTGCCACCAGGGAGGCCTGCCTAAGGGAACATGTTAACTACGTTTATTCAAATTTAAACAGAGGAGTCTGCCAATTTTCAGATACATTAACAAATTATTGTCACTTCTCATATTGTTACTAAATATCTAGACACATTATTGACTGGATTCCTAGTAGAGACATGTTCACCTCAATAAAGTTCTTGGGCCTAAAAATGTACTGTGCAGTTCCTTTTAGAGTGATATTAAAAGACTCATGTTCCTCTGCTTCAGCTTTGGGATATCCGGAAGAAAGCAGCCATCCAGACATTTCAGAACACTTACCAGGTGTTAGCTGTAACCTTCAACGACACAAGTGATCAGATTATTTCTGGTGGAATAGACAACGATATCAAGGTATGTTTGATTTTGTTACATTCTCTTTCACCTAACTTCACTCAGCAGTGAAACTTCTGAGATTGTGGGGAGTTCTGCATTCAATACCAATGAAAAAGAAGATAGTAATTTGGATCGTATTTTTTTTCTCCCCTATTCTCATTGACTTTCTAAATCAAGAGTTGCAATTGAAGATCAAATACATGAATACCATCAAAGACCAGGCAGTTTATGTGAAGTGGGAAGCCCCTGTATGAAAATAGAGAGTAGCATTCCCCACCTGGAGTCTTTTGAGACTAGGAAAAAGAAGTTTTGGAAAGTCTGTAACTAAGAATAACAAAGTAATGATTTAGAGAAAGAGTCAGTAAACTTTGTGTCAGTATAGTATGGCCCAATTGAAGAGTAATTGACTTGGGTTCTGATTCCAGTTCCACTGTTTTGTAGTTTTTTGTGACTTCAAGCAACTTCTTTAATCCTTGGTTTTCTCATGTGTACATTGGTGGTAATAATAATAATAGCAGCTGTCTTTTTTTTTTTAATAATGTAATAGTTTATTTTTACATCATTTTGTGCATTTTTTCATCTCAGTTGTAATCCCCATGGGCTTCCCATCACCAAATCACCGTGTGCCATCATCATAGTCCAGT